CAAATAGTCCCTGCTCTGTGAGGGTCCATGGGGGTCCTGACCACAGAAGAACAGGGTAAAAGGGGGCTAACAAAGTATGCAGAGAAACAGATGGACTACAGTCTGTAATTATAGAACTACAAAGTGCACCTATATAGTAAGTGGAGCTTATAAAATGGACAATGAGCGTAGAAACAAGGACATACAATGGTCATAATGTTATGCCTGATCGGTGTGTGTATGTATATATATATATATATATATAATTTATTTATTTATTTATTTTTTCCATATTTACCGCTAGTTTATCGTTATCAACATTACATATAAAAACATATGTAGGTGTACATTCACTGGTTGTTTTGGATTTATAAAGTGGTTATAGTTGCAATGTCCACAATGCACAATTTCACAATTAACCACTCTGAATGACATGATTGAATTATGAAGAAATTTTACAAATCACTGAAATCCCCCTTTAACATCACGCAAACTACATGCCTAAGTCATTATACCCTTGCCTCAAATCAAGTGACATAGACTTGCTATAGACTATATGGTTTCTGACACTGTACGGCATACTGTTAACTATATAACTATATAAAAAAAAGGTCTCAAAATGTCTCAAAATGCCTGCTACTACTGTTTGTTTGCTATATAACATACTTTTTTTAACAGGTAATAATATGTTTTTATAGACGACAGTAAGTCATACAGTGTGATGGTTAAGGGACGCAGTCTGCATGATGTTAACTGGTGGCTATAAGCACTACTACAATAGCCTCCAAACCCCAAAGCTGCAAAAGCACTTCGGCAAACTTCAGACACCAAACAAGTCTTGGTTGATGTACCATTTAAGGACATGAAGTAAGGCCATAAAATTAAACTTCAATGCTTCTGCCGACACATATCCTCTAAGCCCGTTTAAAACACCCGGGACAAAGCCAGGACTACAGCACGAACTGATAAGTGGATTTGAGAAGTGAACAGAAGTAATCAAGCCTGTTGAACACAAACCTGATCCTGTCCAATAAGCCCTGATGCCATTCCAATTAAACTTTCACAGAATCCCCTCTGCACCAGGGACTGATTGAATAACTTGAACAGTGAGCTGAAACTGACTGAAGTCATTAAGGGATAAGCTGCTCTCTCTACGTCCCACTTCAGCTCGTCTTGTTCACTGTATGTTCCTTGGTCTTGTTTCTGCTTGTATAACTGGTTCAAACCAGGTCCATCAGCTCAGAAGCTGCACTGAGACATGGACACGAAAGCTCTCTCAACAGGATATAACAGCAGTCAGTGCAGCCCAGATGCATTTCCTGTCTGCACTTGCTGTGGGTCTAAATTCCTGGCACTGGCCTGGACTGGCTGAGGGCCGCTCTGATTGGCTGTGAGCTGCGAGGACATTGTGGAACAGATGCTGGGCCACCTCATCACATCACCAATCAGCAAAGCTGGCTGACGGCCAATCGTCACGCAGCATGAGTCGGCGTGTGAGCAACACCTGATCCCACACACTTGTGCTGTTTACTGCCCCACAGAAATAGATACTCCAGAGCATATAACACACCAGTTCCCCACCCTCTTGAAGACTTCAGCCTTATGTTGGAATATGTGACGTCAGCATGATAAGAACAATGCAGAGACTTTGATTAAAATGCCATGATTCAGCCAAAATGTACACAATTTTCCCCCCTATTCCAAATGTCATATATTATCAAGACATGGTGTCTGACGTTTGCTCCCTTTTGGAGTTTTGGAGATACTAATGTAACTAATGTAGTAATGGAAGTTTATATCCCTGCAGTTTAGCACTGTAGAAACTACATATCTAAATAATATCACATTTTCCTTAAACGGTGTTGAGTTGTAAACTTGCTTGTGGTTTTGACACTGTGTGACATACTATTTTCAACAAAACGGACAAATCTATGTCACACAGCTAACAGTAGTAGCCAACTTTGTCTTTATTTTTGTCCATTTTTATACATAACAATATGCCAAACAGTGTCAGACACCACAAAAGCAGGTCTGTTTGAGACTTTTTAACTACTTGATGCAATTTGAGGCATGAAGTTTGCACAATGCTAATAGATAGCTACACTCTCATAAAAAAGGTCAAACTGTCACTGGGGTGGTACCCTCAAGGGTACATCCAGTTCCTTTAGTCGGAGAACAAAATTGTACCATAATCCATTGAAATTATATTTTATTACATTTTGAAATTATAAATTTTTATTGATTCCACACACCCCGACTCGTCTCCAGACTCTTTATTTTATTGTTCTGTTTTAAAACTTTAGGTTATGAAAAGGTACTAATATGTACTTTTCTACTGGGAAAAAAATAGGGTACACAATTGGACCTTAAAACCACTGTTGTACCTTTGAGGGAACATTTGCATTGTTTGTATCTTGATGAATGAAAAATGTACCAGCGCAGAACCTTTATTTCTATAAATCTGTATAAGCTTCCATCACCTACTGGCTTCATCAGCTTTGTAGCTCCATTGCATTGAAAAAGTAAACTTCAGACACCAAACACAACTTGGCTAATCATTGACATTTGGGGTGAGGGGGAAAACAGTGAATCATAAAGAATCCATCCCAGCAGGCTCTGTATATAAACTGATTCAGTGTTTCATACACAAGCGCTCTAACAATGGCACTGATGCATAACAGTTATCTCCCACAGAGAGCCATCTACAGGCCATTTCCACATCCCATCAGGCAGGACACAGTGAAGACTAAGGAGTCCACTCATCCTTCTTCAGTTCATTATAGAGAATGAATAGAGAGGAAATGGAAAGGAAATCTTTAGGCTTTCTATTTAGCTCTTCTTTCGCATACAGCAACACAAACACGTCACACTCACTGTTGAACTCCCGGTGACGGGCCCGGGCCCTCCATGGCTGGTTGCGGATCCAGTGGAGCCGTCGAGGCAGGTCCATGGCCTCGCGCCAGACTGTGTCCACAGGAAGTCATCCAGGAATGTCAGCCCAAACACGTCCACTTTTTTCCCACTGGTGAGTTCATCCTACGGGGACTGCTGGTCCCTGTCTGGGTCTCCTGTAGGTCCTTGGCTGGTCCTCTGAACCGGCTCTTTACACTGCAATACTGGCTGTAGCTGTGTGTCTCCTGTCTCCTCTGGTCTGTTTGTGTTACCTCAGCTCTATATTTTATGCATGAGTCAGGGGAAACTAACTCCCTCTGCAGCTCAGTCAACCACAGGCCGCACCGAGGCTGCACCAGCTCAGAGAGCAGCACCTATTCACGGCCAGCACCTGAGAGCAGAAACACGTACGCACACACACAGCGTCTCACACTGAAACACAATGCCTCTCATCTGCTGGAAGGAGAACACTGGCAGCCAACCAGGAAACACATTCACACAAACAGAATCCTACAGTCACTTGGAGTAACCCAGAAGAATTCCTTAGTGAAGCTGTCTTTTAAGAACTTATAAAACTTCAGGAAAACAACACTTTTACCATTTCTCCTTACTCCAAATGTACTCACTCAGCCATGAAATATGTGCTCATGTGGTGTCTGACACAGTATGGCAGACAACTATCTATAAAAATAGAGATTATACATCATATGATACCGTGCAAAAGTCTGAGACCACCCTTCATTTATTTAATTTCCAAACAGCCATCAAGTACAAGCTATTAATTTTTCAGGAGCTGGACCTTGTAGACCATCAAAACTGTCACTACCAGATAAACAGTACTTAAGGCTTTCATCTTTGAGAAAACTCCACTCTTGCTTCAGATCTGAAAAAATCCACAGGTGTTTCTGTCCATCCTTCCACCGTGAGAAGACTCAATACTGAGACTGAAAGGATGTGTAGCTCTCAAGAAACTGTTACCGAGAAAAGAAAACAGACAAAAAAGGGAAATTTGCAAGTCAACCTGCTAAAAATGCAACCAATTTCTAACACTGAACTTCAGAGGTGTGGAAAAATGCCCCTTTCAGATTTTCTTTGAAAAGAATGAAAGCTGCAATAAAGGCAAATAGCAGGCACACTAAATTCTGAAAGATTTACATTTAGTTGTTAAAGCTTTTGTTCAATTTTTAAATGTTTTCCGCTTTTCTCCTGGCACAAAAAATAACGATAACGAAATAATAATAAAAAATAATAATACAAGTTTTGACTAGAAATTAAATGTAACATAGTCTTTTGTATTTCACCTTAAGAGTAGAAGCAGCCAAAGCCTGAGTGATGTCCCTTCTTTGTCCATGTTAACAGATAATGGCATGCCATTGTGTCAGAACCCGCATGAGCAAGTCTATTTGAGGTTACTTAACATGTGTGTGATGATTCAGATTTACAGTTTGTATGATACTAAATGGTGAAGCATAAGCTTCCATGTCTTGTTTGCTACGTTGTAGTTCCAGTGCAAAGCCAAAGAAGCAAAGCTCAGACACACGTATTGGCTGAGCTGAGGTAAGAGGACAATTGTGCAAATCTGACTTTGCCAAACTTTACCTTTAATATTACAAGTCTATCTATAGATCTTGGAGCAGGGAAAACAACACATTCATATACAAACAAGTGATTAAATCTAAATCCTACCATATGGCCTCGTGTTTTGTGCTTTGACAAAAGGCATTAGAAGCTACTCACAAGCCTAAAAAAAAAGTATTTGAGGCACCAGTATATCGTCCCATGTTCGGGAGAGTCACTGGTCTATTCATGATAATCATAAATCAAACCGACTTGATAACAAGTGCAAACTATCTTTGCAGCAAATGGCTTATCACTCATTCCAGGGATTGTGAAGGGCTTGAAAGCATTTTATTGCACAGCAGCACCCTCCAGAGGATTTGTCCATTCACTACACTGAAAAATAAGCAAATAAGCAATTTTTCCCCCAGCATATTTATTATTATTTGGGACATACACATCTGCATCAAAAATAAATACAAATTCAGTCACAAACAACTGGTATCAAGAGAAATGCTGAGACTTCATGCAAAACTGAACAAACTCAGAATGTGGACATGGTAAGAGAGACTTCTCAAAGTGAACATTTGATTGCACACAAGTCACAGCAATTACTACCGAACACCACAATGGAGCAGGGTGAAACCAGCATTGGGTGATCTGTGCATGATGGTAAACATCATTTTACAGCATAACCTTTATATTGAACAATCAAATAATTTGTACGTACACCATAAAAAATACCAAAATTTGGTCATATCAACTTTACAGAAGGCACGTTATAACTATACAGTACTTGAGCGCAGTGTTAAGTTTAGAGGACAAGTGAAAACCACAGATAGGATTTCACAAAGTCTCAAAGTCTCTCACTGAATAAACATAGGCTTAAAGTACTGAAAATGTGACAGCAGAATGTGGTGGTGGTTTACAAGGTCTATGCTGAGAATTGGGATGAAGGACAAAGTGGTAATTCAGTCTTTTCAAACCACCACTGTACCTGAACCACTTTCAAAAGAAGACCTAAGCCATTTGGACAACAAGCCTGTAAGTATTACAACATAAAAAACTGAACATGAACAAAAGCTAGTCTAGAATATATTCTTCATTTAGTAAAACCTACAGTAAAGCATTATGAGGAGGCTTTTTTAAACATTTTAACATGTTAACAAGGTTCTATACTTGAATTAAACAAGATTTCTTAAGCCAGCCACTATACGTGCCCAGGTCCCTTTTTGTTCTATTCTAGCTCTAGTTGTTTTTACCATTACATCTACAATCAGAATCAAGCTTCCCAGATAAAAATAAAATCGTGAATGTGAATGTATTTAAATAAAAATATGGCTTTGGTCAAAGGTTCTCAAACCAGTTCTCTGGGCACCCCTCAGACGAAACAATACATTTTTTTTTGGTTTGCTAGAAACTGAAACAATATAAATGTAGCCTGGTCGAGGGGCCCCGACGACTAGGCTGAGAACCACAGCCAGACCGCACAACTTGGTCTGTGAAAGCTGCTGCTGTGCAGAGCAGCACACCTGGCTTTAATGTTCAGATGTTCCCTCATGATCCTGAACGGACAAGTACAGAAAAGATAGATCTCCATGACCAACACTGTGCCTCAAGCTCTGGTCAATGTGCTGATAGCATGAAAATGGTATGAAATACGAGAGATTTAAGTACCAACGGTAAAACAACCAAATGATTTATGCAAATGATGCTGATATTAAGCAGTGTAAAAACAGTGCTTTATTAATTAGAACATCCTATCTGAACTGGAAAAAAGTTCTTAAGTGGAATAACCACTGGTTCTGTTATATAGTTTAAGCCTAGCACTAAGAGATCACTGTCTTCATGGCACTTGAAACCTTCTACAAAGTTTATATCTCTACATAGCAGAGATGCCGGGCAGCACAATTCGGTTGCATTCGATGCTCGTGCGTCAACAGAACAATATGACACCACTGTGTGACATTAACATTGCCATCCCTCAAAAAAAAAAGTGTCTAATAATAAAAAGGGAACCCTCAATAACACAGGAAACATTGAGCATATTTCCAACTCAAAGCAAACTAAATAAAATAGTCCCAGAAAATTATAATAAACATTCTTATAGGCAATTTCAAAGTAACATCTGTACCAAGAAATGGCTATTTCACAGAGAAAACAGGTCACTAACCACTAATAACATAACAGAAAAAATTAAACATTTGGTGTATAAGCATTATAATATAGGGGTGCACGGCTGGAATTGGCCACGATTAGAATCTGACGTTTTTTTTCTGCAAACAAGCAATCGGCTACTCTATTATTCTGATTTCAAAACTGATTTATGTTTTATGACGGAAATAACATGAGGCAGGTAAGTGCACTTGAATAATTATGCATAACTCATTGTGCTAAATGGCCAGTTGCCTCTTATGTATCATTTATTTGATTCATGTTATTTAATACAGGCAATTCATGTTTAAGATGCAAGTTTTGTAAAAATGCTAGGGAAAAAGTTTTCCCTAGTAAAGAGCAAATAAATGTTATTTATATTGTGACTTTGGCCAACAGAAAGTACTGAAAATGTGCTGGTGTATTTTGTGTATTCATTTAGTCATTTAGTTAGTTAAAGATAAAAAGTTCAAAGATATGGACCAATTAAGAGAGCTCTATAAACACCAAATGGGGAACAAAAAAAAGCTTATGACAAAGCAACTGCTCACTGAGTCTACTGCCTCTGTGTGTCAGTAATCCTTGATTATCCCATGCCAATGTTCTCCCAGGAATGGTAAACAGTATATGAAAGGCTCCCTTAAGACCACAACATTTACCAGATCCCATTTAAGCCTCACTGGCAGTCACTCACAACATGACTTATCCTTGTACCTGCGGTGGAGTGTGCGTGTTCAGCCCCAGCCTGTACCTGGTCTCAGTACTCATTCTCAGCTCAATTCTTTCCACACTCACTGAGACTGGAAGCTAATACAGGATCCACTGGACAGTGTTTCCTTCAATCACCTAAAACATGTGAGAAGTTCAGATAAAATCCTCAAAAAACAATCCTCTGGTTCCTTGAATTGGCTGGAGTGGATCAGGAGCAGGGAAAGAGTTTTTAAAATCAGTTCATGTTTATTCAGTTTTTTCCCCTTCAGGTGGATTGTCAAGGTCAAGGTCTTGGTCTGCTACACAGCAGAAACACAGCTTCTGGGTGTACAATGAGAACATATCTGAATAAGGAGGAGAAATACAAGAAAGATTTGGTTACTCAGGGTCATTAGGGTAATGCTAATTTCTCCTAGCAACCTGAAGGGATTTCTAATAATGAGACAACATTAACATTTTTATCCCTTCTACACTGAACACAAACATCAAAAACTTGTACCGAAGACATTTCAATATGTTTTAAGTTTGCAACAGACATTAACATACAGATGTACCAGTTTTACAGTGACTTCAGTAGAGAGCTCTGGTGTAGAGCTGACACTGTTTTCTATTTGGTTATGTTATGCCCATATTCACAGTCAGTGAGATATATATTTAAATTTTTTATATTGCAATTTTTTCCCCTAACAAAATTGGTTCAACCTGTTTTAAATTAAAAATGAGATCGGTTGACTGCTGTTTGTTCCTAAATATGATGGTAGTTAATCTAATGTGTCAGGCCTTCGGTACAGCTCCTGAAGTCCTAATCAATAGGAGAGCTCACTTGGCTATGTGTGTCAAGATACCACAGAACATTTGGACAAGATTTTCACCGATACCACAATTAGCAATTATCCATTAACCATTAAGTCTTGTTCGGAAACTAGTTATTAATTAAATTAAAGCATTACTACAACAATATTTTTTGTATTGCATTTTTTAATGCCAGGAAAACATTAGCCCTTCTCTAAATGTCTAGAAGGCCCTGAGGGTCCCCCACTGCTGATATTAAATGCAATTCATCCCAGCCTTAGCATGACTCACCAAGCATTTCCCCCAGGAAGGCTGGTCTGGAGCTGGGAGGCAGGTACACACAGATGAAGTAGAATGGAACTCCAGAGAGAGCCACAAGAATGCCCACCAGAGAGTTTAGAAAGTCACTGTACAGCGGTACCACCACCAGGAACACGCTGCATAAACAGTACACTATGGGGAAGAACAGACTCAGCTACACACACACACACACACACACACACACACACACACACAGTCTACATTATTAACTGTAAATCTGCACACATTGCTGGTATTTACAGTGTACACTATGCCCAAAAGTATCCAGATTCAGTGAAATGAAACACTCTGGAGCAGTCACTTATTAACCTAAGGTCATTATGCACAATGCCAAGTGTCTGCTAAAGGGGTATAAAGCCATGGCCCTTCAAGATGCACGGAAGACAAGCATCAAGACTCTGCTTGATCCTAGCCCCCAGGTGGTGGAATGAACTTCCTTTGGCTGTCTGAACAGCAGAATCCCTCACTATCTTCAAACACCGACTGAAGACCAGTTTCTTGGCAAGCTTTTTAAATGAACGCTAATTTAGCACTTACTGAAATGTCCTGTACTGAACTTATGCTGTGTCTTCTGTTCTGTCCTGTACTGAACTTATGCTGTGTCTTCTGCATACTGCAATTTCTTTTTCTAGGCATCATCACTGACTTTCTGGCAGTGTCTTAGTTCAAGGGTAGTTTGGACTCCAACCTACTTGTATTAGCTAGCACACATTCTCTGAGTGGTCAAGAAAGCACTTTTATAACCCACTTTGAATAAGAGCGTCTGCTAAATGGTATAAATGTAAATGGCCACAGAGCAGGGGAACTGTGTACTCTGGAGTGAAGAAGCTCCATCCAATACCTTTGGGATCAGTTGGAGTGGCATTCATGATCTAGAACTAATCATCCAACATCACTACCTGACCTCACTAATGCTCTTGTGGCTGAATGCATTCTAATCTTCACAGCAACGTTCTAACATCTAGTGTAATTCCTTCCCAGAAGAATAGACCGCAGCAAAGGGGGAACAAACTTCCTATCAATACCATTTCAGAAGAAACACTGAACAAACAGGTGTATACAAACTTACACACATATATATATATATATATATATATATAAATAAGTGTAACATGTCATGCATATCATATTTGTGCATTGAATATTACACACACTATTCACAGTATACCTATTCTATGAGTGATAAAGTGACACTGGCTATTGTATGTGTGGTATTTCTGTTGATCTCAACAATTCCTTGTTCACTACTTTTCAGTGAATAAAGATTCTGATCCTGACACAGAGGAACCGAGCTTCACCTTGACAGGGCGTGGCATCTCAGGAGCCGTTATGCGCAGGTAGATCAGACTGCCAATGGACAGGCCAATGAAGAGCCAGTAATTAAAGCTGAAGTAATTAATGAGCCGGAACACGTCTCTCTCACAAAGGAAAAGCAAAGCCATGCCACCCTGGAGAACACACAAACACACATGCAGATCTGTGTTGAAGAATGTGGTTTCTGCTGGGAAAATGCTACAAATGAACATAAAAAGGCATTTAAAAAGAAAGACAAATCTTACGACAGACACTCACATTGAACAACAAAGCTGGGATAGGTGTGTAGCGCTTAACATGGATCATGGAGAGAAAGTTCGGTAAATGTCCCTCCCTTGATCCAACAAAGAACAACCTAACAAAAACAAAAAAACAAAACAAAGCGAAAACAGTTTAGCAGTTTTGAATGGACATTTACGAGATCACTAGCTCACAGTAGGGCTAAGTGTTACCAACTAGCTCACAATACAATACTCACAATATGCCACGATTCAGTATGTCACAATGAATTACACCATCACAACTGGATGATGATGGTTAACACTCATCTTTCCTCTTGTCATATCTTGATCATGGCAAATCCATAGTAAATGTTAAGTCAAATATTGAAGCTACAAAAGAAGCCCTAAGAGACTTTTGTAGACTGCCATCTATAGGTATGATGTAGATATTATACCAATTAAACTACAGTAATGATTGTGAACACACAATCTGTTTTTTTTCCACTAAATAGACCCCAAAATGAATGACAAATAATTATACCGTTTTACATTCTTTTAAAAAGGTCCTAAATCTTTACCCTCCCCGTCTCTCTCTCTCAGTACACCTTCATTTTTCTGAGACACTCTTATCAAGAGCTGTACTATGATGGACAGATGTTATGATAGGAATCTTGCCTGTCTCCCTGGTCTCCTGTGTGCAGGGCGGAGCCATTAGCTACTGTACTTTGTGGCAGCTTAATATATCACGTTATGGGTTCAGGTTTCCTTTTGCTAATGAGGCTTAATACGATGCTTGTCAGTCAAGGAAAGGTGGTTGAACCGCAGTCATCAGAAAACTCAACTTCCTGCACAGAACTTGCCTCAATGCATATTAAATAGATATATTCATGCGTATTAAGATTACCATTGTATTCACGTTGCCTAATTTTGTATCTACAAAACCTTGCAAATAAATAATAAACATTCAATACATTGGGCAGCCAGCCCTGTTCGTAATTCATGTTAGCCTTGATTTCCAGGCAACTTAATCATCTAAATGCAACTTGTAATTTCAATTATTATATTTAAGAGAAACACAGACAGGGTGGTATGGGGACTCACTTCTCAGCTGCTTGGGCTTGCTGTACATTTGTTCTAGTTACATGCACTGCAGTTGGGCACTGACCTGGAGGCAGCAATGATGGAAGAGTTGAGACCTCCGTAGCAGGAAATGGCCACAGCCAAGGGGATCAGCCAGCGGGCAAAGCCAAGTACACTATCAGCAAATGTCTGCGCACCAAAAAATATGCACACTGTTTATACTCCATAGGCACTGATCACTCACACGCCAGAGATATTAACAGCAAAATGACTGCATTCATCAAAGCATGTCAATAAAAGACTTTTGTTTGCCTCATTGTCAATTTTGCTTTTGCGTGTTTGCTCATCTTTAATAAACACAATGATTTCAATAAAGAATCTCTATAGTAAAGTTATTTAGAGAAAAGAAAAAAAAATATATATATGTATATATATATATATATATATATATATATATAATTACTAAAATGTTTAATTGCATTCATTTCTGTGTCATACAGTCACACAGACAGCCCATTACCAGGCAACAGAGCATGTCCTGTTGTGGAATAATGTTGCAGAATCCCTAGAGAGAGACTGATGCCTGAGGCTTCCTCTACTTAACCAGATCAGTTGAACAGCAGAGGAGTAACAGTAAAATCCAAATTACACCGAGCAGATGCTGCCTATTATGGGCTTTATGACTTGCTGGAGCTGAGGAGTTAAACTACAAGGACAGCATGTGTATGGATTTGTTTGTGCCTAAACAAGATTAAAGCAGCACACTAACAGGTGAATCAATCAATTTCCCCAGAAGTAAGAGATTACGTATACTATGTAACTCCTGTTAGTTAACTGCTCATATGAGCTTCAATCTGTATCAGTTCCAGAACACCATACTCACCACAGCCACAGCTTCACTATCCAGCACAGTCGACATATCCATTACTGTGTAATAGGCCACATTGGTCAAGAGGTAGATCACAGTGACAATGGGCATGGAGATCGCTATGGACAGTGGTAGATTCCTAGTGAAAAATGAAACAAAACAAAACGAGAGATATACTCATATGGACCTCCAGCATCAAAAATAAAGAATCAATCTTTCACTTAGACCACGGCACACTGACCCAACATTCCCCAACAAACCCCTACATCCCAATGTTGGCAAAAGGGCTTTAGAACGTTTAGAAAAAGAACCAACAAGCCAAATGAAGCAGCATGAATGGGAGGAACATCCTAGAACAGTGGTCCTTATTAGTTTCATAAGGTCAAATCTGATCACAAAATCAGTGCGCACAAATTTCACCAACAGTTTTATTATTAATCAATTTTATCTATGGCATATCTGTACGATCAAACTCTGGTAGATGTGAGTGTCAGGTTTGGGTTGTAATGGACTGTAATCGACAGTAAGAAAGGCAGTAAGTAGATAACAGGAACATTATAAATGGAGTGATAAATGGAGGGTGATTACTAGCTGGAGTACATTACTAGTCACATTTTTCCGATGCCAAAAGATAGGAAATACATAAGTTTCACGAATAAACACAAAGTAGTTTGTATGTCATTAAAGGGTTTGTTGGGCCTTTTGTGTCAGTGTGCTTTAAGCTTTAGACAATGCACTTATGATCAAAACTTATTTGAGGCTATATTCCCACCTCTCTGGATTTTTGATCTCCTCAGTTATGAAGTTGAGAGTGTCCCAACCAGAGTAAGAGTACAGAGCAGCATACAAGGCCAAAGCCATGTCCCCAGCGTTCAGATTAGAGTTCGCAAAAGAGTCATTGAAGTTTTCCGTCTTACCTGCAACAGCATGATATTCATATTGTGACACTCATTTACAGAAAACATGAACTAACCTACCACTTTTTACAGTTTAAGTTAATCTCAGTTAAAACAAAGTGTTTAAAATAATTCAGTTGCACAAAGTACTGAAAGTTTGATTCTTAGTACCACAAATAGGCAAACAACTCAATATTTTCAATTACTTATTTAATAAGCAAGGACCAGGTTAATATTGTATTTTGCCTACATTTGAAGTATCTTGTATTGATAAACAGAAATTAAAAAACAGACATGTTAATTTAGCAGTAAAAGAATTATAATTATCTGTGTTTGACCCAATAAACACTATCAAAATTCTGATGTTGTGACAGTGATATATTCCTACCTTGGGCCAGCACCACCAGCCCGGCAATGATGATGACAATGAGAGCCAAGACTTTCGCCACAGTAGAAATGACTTGCAGGATGGCCCCCCATTTCACTTTCATACAGTTCACGAAGGTCAGAAGAGCTGCAGAGAGAGATAGTAAATGAGAGAGAGAATGAGAGAGAGAAATGATCATATGATCACCATTATTGCCTGTGCATGAAAACATAAATCACAGTTGTGGCCCAATGTACTTTTATTACAACAGCAATAAAGCATGCTGTGTGCTGGAAACTATTACCCAACAAAAACTGGGATTTGACACACATTTGAATGAGTCATGACTTTGGCCACTCTCTTCTTTGCGATAGATCAGTGAGCTCCTTGCTTGCACCAGAATACTGACTGGTTATGAACTGTCAGGTGTCATTCTAGAATATGAACATCATTAAAGTTTCAATGTTTTCAACATGTAGCACTGGCGCTAAAGTATTATTCAGAAGGCTTTAGCTTTCCAAAGACAGCTAATGTCATTTTACCACATTTTTCCCACGTCATCTGTAATGTTTATGACTAATTCACATGCGATAAGCAACCTCAGTATTATAGAATGGGAGTGAAAACACACCAAAAACATTTAATTTAGATGTTAATTCTTTTACCCCAACCATCCACCTGGCCATCATAAGTTAACGTAATGTGTCATTAGCTTGGGAACGTACAGCTAACAGTCATTGCCACATAAAATCAAACTTGCTTACTCTTACCCATCTGTGTTGTGCAAAATGAAGACTGTGACTTTCCACTTTCAACTGATTTCTTTGTGCTGCTAAAATGCACACAAGTTTAGCTGTCCAGAGTAAAACTGTATGCAGAGGTGTTAGCTAGTTTAGAGCCCGGTGATAACCGTTCTAGTGCTTTTAAATTAATCAATATATTCCCCATCTTCTCAATGTGAATTTTAATACTGAATCTTCAACACTAATTTCAGTATATAACCTCATTACAGGCATGAGACGTGGCGCTCACTACACCTCATTCCAATCTAATTTGCTCAGTGAAACTTGCACCTCATTTGCATAAAGCCTTCTGCATTATGGCAGTGGTATCTTATTTCCTTGCCATGCCAGTATAAGCCCTTCTTCGGACATGGAAGCTGCCTTTAAATTTAGTGAATGGTAGTTCCTCGTTGGCTAAGTAATATGCAGTATAAAACGTAATGATCAGGACAGCTTCTTCATTTGATCTGTGAATACTGACCTGCTGAATAAATGCCACTGTGAGGACTGCAGGCTCAAGGCTGACAAATCAGTGCCTACACTTTTTCATAATGCAACTTCACTGTCTCAGGCTTAAAATCAGCAGCCACAGAGTTAAATTTAGGCATGCCAGTAGTGCCTTGGCAAAAAGTGTGGGCACAAGTTTTACAAAACACATAGCACATGACTTTCCTAGCTTTATCGTACCGCCATGTACACACTGAGCCAGTCCTGAAGGCATATCTCTTTTTAGCTTTCTTCTTATCTGGCTCACTCAGCTAGAGTTATTGGTGGATTTGAGCGTTTGGGAGACTCACTTTCAGGGATATGGTTCATTTTACCTTTTGCCAGTTTTTTAGCCCACTGATCTCCTTTCACATTCTTTCTGGACAATGTTATTATGGGGAATGATACGGTTACTAGGAATTATTTTAGTTGCATGACCAGTTCTGTATGGAGAAACCTTGCTGGACTTACAGGTTGCACTAGTACAGGTACAGGTGCATGCAATTGTGAGCACTAATTCTAATGTTAAAGACAGCACACAGGACTAGAAAGTGAATCAACAGTAATCCTACTGTTGTGTCTGTACTTACATATAATGAAATATATAAATCAAAATCTCAAATCAGTCTAGATACAAAATTGAGTTTCCACAAACTGATGCCAGAAATAATGTGTCCTGTACATATGAAGCATTAAAGTGATTAAACATTGCTAATGAGGATTTGATGCAATTTCTTATTGGCCAGATAAACCAGGTAAATGTTATTTGTAGACTTCACTAATAGACTAAAGTGATTTTCACGCAGCAGCAGACATGACTGCCTCAGCGGAGAGCTATTTCCCAATCTGTAATGTCCTTGGCTGCTGGACACAAAGGGTATGTCAAACAAGGTAGAGGTTTTTCAAAATCTGCACTGCAAAGCAAAGCTGTAAAACAGTGACCTTTAACTAGAAACATGTCTTCAGTTACTCAGACACAGATGTAACCATTTTCTTACACTGAAAAGTTGTAACCATCACCAACACTGAAAAAAACTACAGTTGACAGTGAAACAGCCCAATTGCCTGGGGACAAGGACTGCCTGATGCTTCATACTTTGACATAGCTAGCTTTGAACTTGACATACAGCTTTTCTAAAATTCCCTTCAATCTGAACAAACTGTTCGCACTGTCAGATTTTCAGTTATAAGCAAACCAAATGCTATGATCAACCTTGATTTTATGCGTGTCTCCCGGAGGTGTTGCCATAGTCTACTGAAGGTCAGATTACCAAGCTGAGCCCAAGATGAAGGCATACCAACAGTGCAAACCATTCCTATCAAGTTACATACACAGTTTACTTATGGACACGCTGTTCGGTATGGGCAGTTAGAATTACAAAGGTCAGTAATTACAAAGACTTGGCAGAGATAATGCAAAGACAAAGAGGCTTACACATGAAGTTACCAGGAAACTGCAGCAGCCTGTTTAGATGATATCTCATGTCAGCAGTAGTGATAGCACATTCCAGAGCTAACTAGCGATAGCATACTCCACAGACCACTTTTCATTCACTTTCTCAACTGAAAAAAAAAGATACAATAGGGTGGCGTCTCGATTCGATACATTCTCTTTTCGATATTTTGCTTTATGGTTATGTGTCCATTTTCAGTTTATTAGAGCATTCAACAACATAAAAATACAATATTTTATAATAATGCACTAGCCATGTGCTAATATGTGCCTACAAGGAGTGTGTATGTGCGTGCTTTTCACCCTGTTCTTGATTTTGAGGTAAACAGGAAGAGATGGGTAAGACAGGAGAGTCTGTCCTCATTGTGGGCTTTTTTAAATTTTCATTATACTTTATGCAATATAATCAGTATTAAACTGAGTATTTTGTTTGTTGCAGTCTGTTGAATGTACTGTTAAATACCTCCATGTATTGAATTAAGTCTCGTACTGAAAGATAGAAAACAATACCTGTAATGTAAGAAAGGTAAATAGATAAAATTTCTCTGAACATATGATACAAGTCAAGCACTGTAATGCTCTGCTCATTAATAGGTCTGTAACATAGTTTTCCAAAATTACGCTGTACTATATAACATTTATATGATGCAGAAAATTCCAAGCCATGGCTGTTATTTCAACAGTTTGCTGTATACTACAGGAAGCACAAGGGGCGGTATGGATTCCACTGTTTCACTAAAGCATAAAAAAAGAAACAGTATTGCAGATGGAACCTTGATGGTAGCGATGTGACGGGGGAACTGAGAGTACACAGCAAAGGGCTTAATTAGATCAGTTAATTAAATAATAGTTAACAGATTAACCAATTATAGAAATAATTAGTTACAGTCCTACTCACAAGTACACCAGGGTCAGCTCAGAGGTAACAGAGGTAACCACTGGCCATAGTTAAGCTTTTTTTGTGTGCAGTGGCATCTCTGCCCTTCAGTATGGTGTGCGTCTGCATGGCAGGTGGAGAAGACAGGAAATGAACACAAAACTTTTGAAATAAGAATGCAGCTCTTTTTCTTTGGAAAAAGTATGAAATGGCAACACTACAGAGGGCTGTGAAGACCATTCTGAAAGCTTCAGCTTGAGCTTCTTGTAGCACTTTATGGTGGATTTTGAGCAAAGTGTTTTGTTTTATAAGAGTCTCTTTTCAGCCTTAGTTTCTTGACAGACAGTCACATTTGCTTACAGAATCTGATATTCCAGATGTTAAACGGAATCCATTCTTCCATCTCATTGGGCAATGATTCTTGTGCTGCTGGCTGCAACACAACCCCAAAGCATAAAATATCCACCCCTGTGCCACTCAGGCATCAGCTACACCTTCTTGAAAGTCCTTTGCTAGGATGCATCAGTACCGATACTGGTATTGAGCCGATATTGTGTTCATTTACTCATAAAAATTCACCAGTACCAACATTCAGACACCACTATAGTAATCTATAATACACTCAGCGCTGTTAATGATAAAACATTGAAACTGTTAATTAATTAAACTCCATCAGTCCCACAAAGGAATTATATTCAAAATGTATAAGGTCTTGATGGTAAAGAAATTAAATTTGACAGAATACGGAGATCGTTTTTGGATAGAGTAGCAGTACTGGGAAGTATATTTAATTTAGACTTGCCCTGTGAGTTTGAGTTATCGTTCCTGGGGATGCTAAATTTTCCACATAATGAGTTTGGACAAATATTTATGGGGCATTCTATTAATTGCAAGTAAAAAGGAAGCCTAACAAGAAGGTTTTCTCTAACAAATTTTTTTTTAATTATCATTATCCTTTTTTTTGAACAGGCAGATGCCCAGGCTCTAATATGTACAGTTGCTTGTTTTTAAGAATGTGAAAAGGAGAGGGGAGGAGAACCTTTAAGCACTGTAAAAGGAAGGGGAGCGGTACAGGTCATAAGGCGTATGAAAAAATATATAATAAACGGCACTGTGTTTTGTCATTGCTTGCTGCTAAATATTTCTCCTTGGGGAAAAAAAATCCTTTTGTAGTTCGGTTTCCGACTTATGTTTAATGTAAAAGGAATTATGTGGCTCCATCGATGCAACCAGATTTTGATTTCAAAATCTATTGGAGCATAATAGAGTTCATGATGCCATGTATCTAACAAGGTTTTCATGGCCTTTGGAGGAAAAACAGCCCTAAAACATCACAGATCCTCCAACACACTTAACAGTGGATATAAGGGTACACAAGAGGTCTGCATGGGTTTTATTATTAATACCCACCTGCTTCAACAACCAGTCGCCCAACCAGTCTGCTCGCAAAATTTAGCGTCTGTCATGCCAAGCCATGCCCAGCCGCACCCACCCCACCACGCTTTTTGGGATATGCCTGTGGTCCTCATCCCCTCCTGCCTGCGTTTGCTGTAATCTGCTCCACTGGTTGTACGGCATGTCTTCACAACCCCCACAACACAGTGGAACAGCCTCTAGACCCATCATACCCCCACAAATAAATGTTGCAATTATGCAAAACAGAGGTAAATATTAAGTGTATGCTTAGGCTAAACAAACCATATGAACTCACACATGGCACCAAACAATGAGCGGACATCATTGTCAACACATACAAGAATGCAGCAGTGAACTCAAGCAAAAGACCAAAAAAAATAAATAAATAAAAACATAAAAAAAACCCACACAGCGAGGCAACTTGGCTTCATTACTTTTCATCTGTATCAGCATTTTATCTGTGTCAGCTCATTACTCTATGAGATGTCTACAAGTCAGCCGAAATTAAATCAAAGCCAAAACAGAGGCTTAGACATGCCACAACACAGGTTAAAAAGCCAAAACAACGATGTTGGTGGTGGGACATTTTGTGCATACCTTATTTATTGAATGTTATATGACCATGTGTTTTGCTGCTTGCGACTACTACTGATATGTTTCTCTCCACCGCAGTGCAGCTTGTTTGTTGCTTGCCTATCTGCTTCTACAAGCAGCCAATAACTCTCCAAACCTGCCCCACCCAGTCAGCCATAATTCATTACCCCACCCCCTCCCCCGCTTGAGACCACTGTTTGCCCACAATGATAAAAATATTATTTCTTTCTCTCTCTCATACATATATGACTATGACTTACTCAATAGCTAATATTGAAACTGTACATTCTTCTGTATGTTTTTCAAGAACAGAGAACTTACCAATGATGAGCGCTGCAATGAGGCGTACTGCTGCATACGGAGCAATGCAGTTGGGGTAGAAGGGCTGAACCAGGTAGCTGGAGAAGGTAAGAGCAATAACTGCCTGGCAAGCTGGTTCTACAATAATGAGTGAAGTCCACAGACGAATAAAAGCCAGGAAGCCTCCAAAGGACTCTAGAATGTAGGCATAGCTGGCGCCTGACTTGCGGATGGTGGTGCCGAGTTCAGCATAACAGAGGGCACCAAACACAGAGAAAATGCCACCAATAGCCCAAACCACTAGTGACAAGCCAAAGGAGCCTGTATGCCATAGTACACCTTTTGGTGATACAAAAATGCCTGAGCCAATCATATTCCCCACGATGAGGCAGACGCCATGCAGCAGAGAGATCTCCTGTTTCAGACGCACGGAGCTGGTGGAGGTTGCGTCTACAGCCTTCTCCATGATTTCACACAGACTGAAAAAACTTGACTGGAAAAACAGGTACAGACAGAACAAGACTACAAAGGCAGCACCACAGCACTCTCAGTTGTGGACCATCTTCTGCTAGAATCAAATCTGTAAAATAAGAAAAGAGCAACAATCAGCAACACTTATCAACAAACCTTGATCTTTCCTCACAAAAGGTAACGCACACCTTGATGTGTGTGTGTGTGTGTGTGTGTGTGTGTGTGTGTGTGTGTGTGTGTGTGCGTGTGTGCGTGTGTGCGTGTGTGCGTATTGGGGGGGTGAGCATTAACATTTCCACCAGAGAGGTCTCCAAACAGTGTACATAGTGTAGCTTTAATTTAATTACATTTTTAATCATATATGGGGATTCTTAAACTTTTGGGGTTGTCTGGAGGCAAAATACAGGTTGAAAATAAAAGCTGCACAAAATTTTGAAAGTTCAGGACTTTTTTAATTGTAATTTAGCAAAAAATTCCAATTCTTGTAATTATTTGTATTAATAAAAGATTACATAAAGATACATTAGCTAGCCTATTTTTTTCAAAACAACATTTGATTTTCAGACAGTATTTTGGGTCTTCTGCCATAGCGTTCACAACTATTAAGAGAGACACAGTTTTCGCACAAGTCATGGTGCTTTATTTTCCAGCTGTTGTTAGCCACAGCTACGCTGTGCATAAGCAGAGTTTTCTTTCTCTAACAGCTTGTTTGCTACCCAGCTTACGTCTCCTGTCTCAATGCTCACGCACACACAGGGCGGCTTCTCTTCCTGCCCTCTACAATAAGAGTCCTTAGCAAAATAAACCCAGTGAATAAATACTGAAGAATCCCAACGTAATACTAACAAACATTTCTTGAACATGTTACAATATCATTTAGTGTCAAGTACTGTGATACTACACATGGCATCTGTATCAAAATCAAAATACTGGTGTCATGGCAACCCTTGTCTGCAGAGCATAACACTGGTTCCAACATGCAGCCCGTCACAACAGTTGTGTTTTTGTACTTTGCCTGAAAAGGAAATTAATGGATTTCATTTTTTTGGTCTTTTTTTAATTCTTATTTGTTTTTACTTTTAAAGGAGAAAGATGAGTTCGATATTAGGTTAAGCTGACAAGACAATTATTAACATATCAGCAATAAGTCAATAAGTCAGCATCCGCACCCACGTGGTTTGAAGATTACAAACTATCCACATTAGAACACACTCAGCTTAAGTGTAGAGGACCAAAACGTTACTAGGAGCAAAGATATCTTGTCTTCTCAGTGGAGTCAAGAGTCAGAAGTGAGGTTTCAAAATTTAAAAAAAGCCTCGCTGTACACAAGCAGGGAGCACCTGCACCATCAATGGTTTAGCGGAACTTCACACGAATCAGCGTGAGATCTCCCATGTGCTCGGTTTAGTACTTAGTCTAACATAGACTCCTGCGTTTAAATCTGACGGCCACTCGACAACTCGATACGAGGGTGAAGTTGGCTCCCTATTCGTCAACCTGAGGCGCCAGAATTGTAGCTGCTGCAGCATTTACGGTGGAACGGGGTAATTCATACAAAAAGCCGGGGAATAAGAAGCTGGTTCAGCCTGGTAAACTCGATCAAGGAATAATAATAATAATAATAATAATAATAATAATAACAACAACAACAACCATCAACAACAACTTCCAAGAAATAATTATCAAGAGTGACATTACAGCGATATGGTGTTTTATTAAATCACCATCTGCTTCCCCTTTTCCCAAAACTAGCAACCATGCAAGCCTGACTCGCTCTTACATCAACCTTGCAGCCAGCTCCACATAGCTGCATCCGGAAGAATGTGCTTTACGCTCTTTACGCACCAATAGCACACTACGTGCCAGAAGCATCCTCAAAACACACTTCAAGCCAAAGTAGAGTAACTTCATTAAAAATCATCCCTCGTAGATATTATCGAGTCTATCTCCAAGTCACCCCTCTCATCACGAGTGAAAGCAGTCTGACAGGCTGACTGGCTAACAGACTAGTCGGTCTTAACCCAGCTAGCTAGCTAGTTAACCTAACACAGTAACGTTAACTTAGTCGGCTGCTCTCCACGTTGAAAACCTTATCGACAACTCTCTAAACTCAGACGAAAAGAACATGGTTTAACCTCCTAGTCCGATGTTTGAAACTAATTCAGAACTCTAGCTATTGCTAAAAGATGTCCAAAGCAACAGAGCCTCTGGTTTCTCCCCTCCAGATGGTGAAACGAGTCTCTCAAGTTCCTCTCGTTAGCCGGTAGTTAGCCAGCTAGCTAACGTTTGTAACGCTGTCCAGCAGTAACCTTAGTAACGTTATTACAGGCGGCTGTGTTAAAACATAAAACAATAAGGGTAACGATAAAGGTAAGATTAAAAGCTAAATAAGAACAGAACTGGCAGGAAACTGGTGAAAAAAAAACAACAAACTGTGGTGACCAAATTAGCCAACAACAGGCAAAACAACTCCCTCATGCATAAGATATATCAAGATCTCACCTGCGTGACAGGCTGAAGGATAAGGGTGGTGGTGAGGGGGGGTGTCCGGGTGCTGGTGATGACTGTAATGATGGTGATGGACGGCAATGTGCTGTCCACGTGTGCTGCCCGTCGGAAACAGAAGCTGCTAGCTGAAGTCACTGTGCTTTAAATGCGGCAGCGCGGTCCTGCTCTGCTCTTCCCGCCCCTACAGGGAAATCAGCTACGTAGCTCTGCGGTCAGCTGGAAGAGAGCCAGTGATGTGGAGGACAACACTGCACTGTAGGCCTGGATTTAAAGGGGAATGGAATCAATTCTGACACATTTCTGAATAATTCAGCCCTTGAGATGTAAACAGAGTAATTCAGAGAGGGTGGATGTGAAGTGGTTCACTGCAGAGAAACTTAGAGACTTTGATTTCTTTACATCATGATAGGAACCGGGAGTCAGAATGTCTACAACACAAATACAGCCATTTATTTACTGTCCAAAGCCACCAGTGAACCTACATGTGTTTTTATATCTTAGGCTGATGGTGGTAAAATAGTTATAAATCTGAAAAAATAAGTTTCTTTGGGGACTATTTTGCCTTACAAAGAGGCTTTGCAGAAATAGAGTCCGGGTGCTGAACTGGCCTGCCTGTAGTCTAGACCTTTCACCAATAGAAAACATTTGGCACATCATGAAATGAAAAATCCAGCAAAGAAGGACTGTTCAGCAGCTAGAACCCTACATCTGACAAAACTCCAGTAATTGGTCTCCTCACTTCCCAGACATTTACAGACTGTTAAAAGAAGAGGGGATGTTACACAATGGTAGACGTGGCCCTGTCCCAACTTTTTTGAGATGAGTTGCTGCCATCAAGTTCTAAATGAGTTAATGTTTTTCATGAAATGGTAAAATGTTCCCACTTTCAACGTCTGATATGTGTTCTATGTTCTATTGTGAATAAAATATGGGTCTATAAGATTTGCAAATCATTGCATGCTGTTTTATTAACATTTATTTACATTTTGCACAGCGTCCCAACTTTTTTTTGGATTTGGGGTTTTATATTTCTATATATACAGTGTGCAAAGTACCCCCTTGTAATCGGGAGGGCACTGTGTTCCACTATGGGCTGAACACATCAGTCTTACTTGGTATTATGGAATAAAAATGAACAATTTAGATCACTGCAGCATACTAGAAGCATAACATCATACATGTGTATGCTGCTCATTCAGCAAACAAAAACAACGCTAAAAATAACGCATCCTCTACAGAGAACAAAGTGAAATATGGGGTGCACTTTTAGTGCAGAGTTTAAAATACTGAAAAAAAACCTATGAAATATAAAATGTGATATAACTTTTGTACAGGCCACATTTATCCTTTATTTACCCAATATATTAAATTGAGCAAATAAACACTTCCTTATACTTTGTTTATGCTTAATGTCATTAATGTATGTATATCCTAAATCAGAGCCATATAAACAGTGCAGTATCAATTAAGCTGTGTTCCCATATGCTGACACTGTATCTACTCAAACTAGGCCTGTAATTGCCTTCAAGTATATATCTTATGTTAGGTCTTGCAGGGCCTTCTCACCCCTTTCATAACTAATCTCTCACCCCGTACTATGTTTTCATATCTATCTATATCTATTTATTCTATATATATTACTACCACCTTGTGGTGGAAAATATAGCTGCAGTGCAGATGGAACAAAAACACAAGATACAGTAACTATGACCACTGAACGTGGTTCCAGTCAAACTTCTAGTACCATTTAGCAAACTTCAGGTGCTCAAATTTATGCTTAAAGGAAAGAAAATACTTTTTTTTGGTGGTCTTTCAAATTATTTTTTAGCTTGGAAATGATATCTACTTGTAGTTTTGGAGACTTGCCATTGCCTGATTCATGGAGGCCATTGCACCTTTGTCTCAATTCGTGTGGGATCAAATCTTCCTAATGTCAATGAATAACTAGGGGAACAGGAAGTCATGGATGACTGTTTGCACAAGTCTTGACTTTTTGTACCCATTTTTATTAAGGGTGCCAATTATTATGGAACAATTTATGCACAGAATTTCACGTCATGCATTTAAAAGAAGTCACATAGCATGTCTCAAGGCCTTATAGTATGATTTACATAATATTTGATTGCTGTGTGTTAATTAGGAATACATTATTTTTACTTGTATCAATTTAAACTGTATCATGATGCTTTACGTTACTTGTGTTACTGATGTTTGATAGATATCAGGGGCTGTGGCTACATTCACATGCTGCTGATCACTTTATGGCCAGCTTTGCTCAGACCATACAACCTTTATTATTCATGCTGCAGACACTGCTTCCTTCATTATTCATGGTACACATGCCTATAGCCTGTGCATTTTTTATTGGTAGCTTGACTGGAAGTATAGGTGCATTATTGATAAACCCTGGCTGAATCTAAAAAGACTGTGTCCTGTCATTTATTGTTTTATTTTGTATTTATATTTAAAGATATGTCAGTGGATTTGTGAGTATCTACTGTATTTTGTATATCACTGTATGTGACGTGAATAATAGTGTCGAAACAAGAACAAGATCCTGAGAAATAGTGTAGATCCATATCAGCCAGGAAGCCAAAGTTAATATGAAAGAACGTGCAAGATATTCCAGGTTGCCGGTCAGGTACACTGCTGTACAGTTATTGATGACAGATAATGAAAACAGGAAACTCAAATACATTATAAGTGATGGCCAGTCAGATACACATAATGAGTAATGCATCATCTGTCATCTTAGGTGACCTTATTTTCTACAGTACTGTGCAAAAGTCAGAGACCACCCTTTAATTTTTTACATTTCCAGTCAAAACAGCCATTATGTACAAGTTATTAATTTGTCAGTAAGAGGGAAAAATGCAGAAAACATATTGTTGCTGTATAAAAAAAATACCATATATCTCAATTTTTTCCGTTTTTATTTTTCTACTTATAATTTTATTTTTCTACATCGAACGTAGCAGCTGTCCTTTATATTGTATGAAAATTGCATGAGTAGACCAATAGAAATGCTCCAAAATTACATTAACTTGTATTAAGAGTTAAAACGTGCTTTTTTCCTCCTGTAAAGTTACTAACACAATATGATTTCATTTTTTTTCTTATTTTATTACAACCCCATTCACAAAAAAGTTGGGACACTGTGCAAAATGTAAACAAAAACAAAATGCAATGATGTGCAAATCATTTAAACCCTATATTTCATTGAAAATAGTACAAAGACAACTCAAAAAAGCAACAAAAGACTAGTAAAGACTAGTAAAGTTGCATCCCAGAGAGGCTGAGGCTTTCAGAAGTAAAGATGAGGAGGGGTTCACCACTCTGTGAAAGACTGCACGATCAAAAAGTGCAACAATTCAAGAATAATGTTTCTCAACGTAAAACAGCAAAGAACTTTTGTTTTTCATCTACGGTATGTAATATCTTTAAAAGATTCAGAGAATCTCTGTTTGCAAGGGACAAGGCCAAAAACTAATATTTGCTAGCCATGCTCTTTGGGCCCTCAGACAGCATTGCATTAAAAACAGACATGATTCTGTAGTGGAAATCACTGCATGGGCTCAGAAACACTTCTGAAAACCACTGTGAAAACATCTTCGTTGCAAGTTAAAATTCTGAAACACAAGGAAGAAACTGTACATAAACTGTACATAAAACATAAACCATAAATCCAGAAACGCTGCCACCTTCTCTGGGCCCAAGCTCATTTAAGATGGACTGAGAGGAAGTGTCCTGTGGTCTGACAAATCAACATTTGAAATTATTTTTTGGAAATCTTGGACACTGTGTCCTCCGGGCTAAAGACCACTTAGCTTGTTATCAATGCACAGTTCAAAAGCCAGTATTCATGATGGTATAGGGGTGCATTAGTACACATGGCATGGGTGACGTGCACATCTGTGAAGGCACCATTAATGCTGAACGATATATACATGTTTTGGCAACATATGCTGACACCCAGACGACGTCTTTTTCAGGGAAGGCCTTGCTTATTTCAGCAAGACAATGACAAACCACCTTCTGCATGTATTACAACAGCATTGCTCTGTATTAAAAGAGTCCAGGCACTAAAGTGACCTGCCTGAAGTCCAGACCTGTTACCACTGAAAACATTTGGTGCATTATGAAATGAAAAATATGACAAAGGGGAACCTGAACTGTTGAGCAGCTGAAATCCTGTATCAAACAAGAATGGGAAAACATTTCACTTTCAAAACTACAGCAATTGGTCTCCTCAGTTCCCAAATGCTTACAGAGTGTATTTTGAGTGGTAAACATGTCCCCGTCCCAACTTTTTTGAAACATATTGTTGGCATCAAATTGAAAATGGGCGTATATTTTTCAAAAAACATTTTGAAAAAAATTTCGCAGTTTCAACATTTGATATTTTGTTTTTGTACAATTTTCAATGACATATAAGGTTTAATGATTTGCACATCATTGCATTTTGATTTTATTTACATTTTGCTGTGTGTACATTTTTTGGAAACGTGGTTGTATTTTTTCTTCAGTATTTAGTGTTTCCGTTCTGTACCTTTATTACTGCTTCAGTTCTTTTCATGAGACTTCTTTTTAGTTTTCCAAAGAAATCTGCAGGAATATTTTTCCACACCTCCGAAGTTCAGTTTTGGAAGTTGCATTTTCTGCTTCTCACAATCCAAATAATCCCAGTTACAAAGTTAGACTCATCAGTGCATAAAATCTTATTTCTTATTTCAGATGTCCAGCTTTGGTGTTCTGGTGTAAATGTTCCTTTTTGTCTTTTTCCTTTTCTCAGTAGCAGCTTTTTGACAGCGACACATTCTTTCAGACCCATAGTGTTGAGTCTTCTCACAATGGAAGCATGGACAGAAACACCTGTGGATTTTTTTTAGATCTGAAGCAAGAGTGGCGCTTGATTTTCACTTTTTCATTTCTCTTTTTTTATGCAAGCTTGGATTATCTTATATCTAACCTCCTCAGTATATCTCCTAAAAATGCAGGAGATATACAGTTCTGTATATTTAATTTACAATCATTTACAATTGTGTTTCCAGGAAACGATTTCTTGTGTATTAAGATGAGCAGGTCATTATTCCTACACAGGCTAAACCATTTATAAGGGGGAAGCTCTTTTTGGGCGCCTTTTGCAGTCCTTGATGTGAATCCGCCAGTATG